AATCAAAAAAAATTGTTAAATTGCATTTGATAGCGGTGAAAATGGATATTTGTGTTGAAATATGATACCTGAAACTTTTTGTGATTATAATACTTCCTTTTTACTTCGTACAAGGAAGTAAAGAAGAAAAAGAAAAAAAAAAAAATTTTGGAAACAAAGAACCAAAAAGTTATTAATGTAGAATGCCTGTTCTCTGCCTTTTTAATTGGAGCACAGTCTGCTACTGAATACATTGGATCATGCTGCAGTTTTATTTAAAAAAGTGTTTCCCCAGTAGCACAATTGCTAGGAAATACTTGAATGCAAGGATAAAAATGGCTGCAATCATTAAAGAAATTGGTATGAACAATAAATCTTCAGTTATTGATTTCAAAACTTTTTTTTAAATAGATTTTCAGTTTTACTTCGCCTAGTTTTGAGAGACCATACTGCAACTGATAAATTACAATCACAGTTTTGTAGTTCACAATTAGAAAACTGAAAGGTGTTGATGAAATTTTAACATTCAGTGAATTGTCTAGAAGGTCATCCTGACAATTCCCCATAGTAATGCAGATTGCGAGAGGATTTTCAGTGTTGTTACTAAAACGGGAACTAAATTTAGATCCAATATTAGTAATGAAACATTAGAAAAATTTTCATTATCAAAAGCAGGCCTACATGGCAATTGCTATGAACAAAATTACAAAGCTTCTTTCGTAATGAAAGCAAAATCTGCCTCTGTTCTTGGCATTTGTATGAAAACTGATTAAAATGTTATTTTTCTCTTAAAAGGTTCAAGTAATAATAATGTTCCTTTTACATGCAAGTATTTTTGTACTATTTGCATTTAAAAATTAGTTACTGTACTTTCAGATATTAATTTGTCACTATTTAAAGTGAATTCTTTAATATATAATTATTTCTAAATATTTTTATCATTTAAAAAATCTTTTTGTCATTGAGAAAATTCTGATTTTTGAATGTCATAGATTAGCAATTATGCATAATATTCAACAATGAATCCTGCCTCAGTCTTGGAGCAGACCATCGGCTCAGTCTGTGGAGGGGCCAGAGCTAGTGGTCCCAGTCAGCCTTGGTTTTGCAGAGGACATACAGCCAGTATCCCTGGTGTGTTAGTGTGGGATACTATTTCTTACGACAGCAGATTGATCTTATTCATCCTGTATACAACTTTAATAGCTCAATGATATATTGATGACATCCTGCGGCCATTTGCATTATCCTTATCATGTAAAAAATCTTTTTGTCATTTAGAAAATTCTCCTGATTTTTTAATGTTATAGATTGGCAGTTATGCATAGTATTCAACAATGAATCCTGCTTTAGTCTTGGAGCAGAAGACTATTGGGTCCATCTGTGAAGGGGCCATGGCCAGTGGTCCCAGTCTGCCTTTGTTTTGCTGAGGCACACATCCAATACCTGTGGTCTGATAGTGTGGGATACTATTTCTTATGATCGACCTTTTTCATCCTGCATACAGCTTTTATAGCTCAATGATATGCTGGCGACATCCTGGGGCATTTGCATTACCCTTCATGGCGTGCCATCTTGGAACCATTTTCCAACAGGATAATGCTAGATTTAGATTTTATATGGCTCATATATCTCTGGATTGTCTCTGAACTGTTGATAGTCTTACTTGGTCATCGAGGTCACCAGACCTTTTGTCAATTGAATATGTATGGAATATGGTAGGCTGCCAAATATGGTCACCCCAAAGTATCGCAGACATGGAGCAACAGTTGAGGAATACCTGATAGACTGTATCGCAGGATGAGATTAAGAATCTTTATCACTGTTTACCTAAACATTTACATTACAAGCATGCATTGTGGCCAGGGGTTTTCAGTAGTTGCTAAACTGAGCGTTCATTGTGCATTGGTAGCCAATGGTGGGTCCTTGAATTTTTAATCATTCATTACCTATGTATGAGCTTTATGCATATTTAATTTCAATAAGAATTGGCAATTTCTTTATAGAGCTTCTTGGGGGAGGCAAAAGAGTGAATTAAAAATAACAATAGGAGAAATGAGTGTACACAGCTCAGTAACCCTAAACACGTGTTTTTCACATATGTGCAGATCATTAATCATTTTCTTCTTCCCAGTTTAGAAATGTGCAAATTAACTTCTCTCCAAGGCTGCCACAGAAGACAAATACCAAATTGTGTTTTATCATCAGGTGATTGAAAAAAAATGGTAGTATACAGAAGCAAAAGGAAAGAATCTGATAGCTAGAAGTATTAAATATGCAATTAGTAAATTTTTAAATACCCCTCCTGATTTCAACATTAAATTACTACTTATAAAGGCATAGGCTTTTTTTAACTGATGTTAAAATTTAACACCTGACAATCATTTAAACTTTTTGTTGTAAGAATAATTATGAAAATGTTTTATTGTCTAGCTGTTTAAAGCCAATAAATCAGATGAGATGTTTATTGAAGGTATGTCATTGTCGAAGATAGTACTGCTTATATATGCATTACATTCTTAGATAGAGTATTAATATTATGAAAATGTGTTTGAAGGCTGTAGCTGAACAGTATCTATTGGCTGTAAAAATGCAAAATTGGACATGTAGCGCTATCTGTATGCATAAATTTCTTTCTTTCTTTCTTTTTTTTTTTTTCTTTTTTTTTTTTTTTTTTTTTTACCAAATATTCATTTTGTCATTACAACAAAAGCTCAATTATAAAAAATCTGATGTGTACACCACATGACTTCCTTGTATGGAATATTAAATTATACGCATTTTTTCTTGCATTTCATTTAAACTTATTAGGTTGAATTAAACCTACTTCGCCAACAGCGCATAAACCACAATAGAATAAATGCATTCTTTAAAATTCGTTTTGTTTACCATAGCGACACTCTGGCGCAAGGTTCACTTAACAATATTATATTTCGTTCATATTATAACTCAAAATGCACAGAATTTATATCATTTAAAGAATTATCTAATCGTTGCCACACGTTCCATTCAAATACTATAATAAAGCTAGAACGATGTATAAAAGAAATTAGCAAACAAAACAAAAGAGAAACAGTTTTTCACAGACGATTGAGTATTTCTCATTCAATCAATTCAGTTCTCACTTCACGACAAGGCAAAAATACATAAAAACTCAAAATATCTGTATTAAAAATTACGAAGTAAATCTTAAACACTTATTTCCTCGAAAAAATTCCAGAAAGTATTAAGCATGATTTAATTCACAATAATAAATGAAGGCGTTATCTTTGTTGTTGCGAAGCTAAGTTTCGCTAGATTGGCAACAAATCCGCTATCCTGCTGTTTCAAATGTAAACAAGAGCAATGGCCGCCATCAAAAAAATTATTAGACTTAACGGCACTAAACAATTTTAAAATTGTTCATAATTCTAAAAATATTGCATGCAGATTTACTAAAGGTATAAAAACCTTAACCGAAAGATAAGAACAACATAATCAATCATTTTTAAAGCAAAAAATGTACAATTTACAAACATATAAGAGTAAGGAAACTGAGATCACTGAGCCGGGTAACAGAGTAGATATATAGTATATAAATATATTTATATACGTTTGGTGCAGCCGATTGCAACCAAAATACGAGGTGTACATCTGCATGTTATAGCAGTCCTATATACAAAATTTCAACGTTCTGAGGCTACTCGTTTTTGAGTTATGCGAGATACGTACGTACGTACGTACGTACATACATACGTTTGTACAGACGCCACGAAAAATTTTCTTCAGAATTCATTTTAAACCAGTTTTATAATTTTTTTGGGGAAAAGAGTGTTTTATTCTGTCCTTATGTACAGATATCATGGAAATACATCGTTAAATTGCATTCAAAAGAGGTCAAAATGGATATTTTCGTTGAAATATGCTGCCTGAAACATTTCATGATTACAGTACTTCCTTTTTACTTCGTACAAGGAAGTAAAAAAGCTTGGAAATTCTGGATAATTGTGTGTATAAAAAATGCAGTTCACAATAAAGAAGCCAGATGGAAGTGAAAAGAAATTTCCACTCTAACGTTATAAAAAGTCACTTTATTTTTTTTTATCAAAAACTTGCGTTTAAAATTATGTAAGTTTAAAAAAAATGTATTTTGCATGATTGTGGAAAAAATCCATGAAATCTTGTTAACCGTGGAAGTTGGCTAGGAACCTGTCAAACGCATCAGCAAAAGTTAGTAGTAAAGTTGGTCTAAATTAGATAAATCGGCAGATATAGCATATGAAAAACTTGAATCTTTTAAAATATTTTTTCTGATTGCATTGTCATTGTGTATGCATTTTCATATAAAGTCATATATCATGCCATTAACGTAATTTTTATAGCATATGAAAAACTTGAATCTTTTAAAATATTTTTTCTAATTGCATTGTCATTGTGTATGCATTTTCATATAAAGTCATATATCATGCCATTAATGTAATTTTTCTTTATGTTAGGATACCATAATTTTGAAACTGCACCACTGCATGCTGTTTTATAGAAGGCAGGTCTAGAATTTCAATAATTTTTTTTCAAAATGTGAGGGATAGAAAGATTAATAATATTTCACTATTAGACTTCTATTTAAAAACTTAGCTGGTTTTTCAAGAACTGTTTGGGTTTTCATATAACTAATGGCAAGTATCTAATGATTATTTGTATCATCATCCTTATTCATTATGAGTGTCAAATCACACAATATGATAGCTGTTTTTGGTGTGTTGAAAATAGTAGAATAGTTTGTATAAGTGGAAATAGTTTGCAGAAGAATATGCACTAATATGTTTCTTAAAATGTGCTCAATTATGAGGAGAGTCAGAAATAAATTTTACGTCGATTTCACTATGAATTCACATGACAATTAATAATAAAATGTAATAAAAATAAAAAGTAATTAAAATAAATTTAATTAAAATAAAAAGTAATAAAAATATTTTCAGGTTTTGAAAATTTGTGACAATTTTGAAAAAAAAAAAGTATAATGAGGTGATTAATTGTTCCCATGCTTAAACAGTGGCTCGTTTTTAAGATCACACTGTGGGGAATATTCAACTCTGTTTTGATGGCCAGTTGTGTTTGATCTGCTTCCAGTCTATTAAGTACTTGCAAGTTTTGGTCTTCATTTAAACAATGTTTTTCAGACATGGTAAATATCATCTGATTATTTTCATATTTTACTTTTAACCAATATATATATATGCACTGTCAAACATGTTTCCTTTCATGTTTTACTCATACTTGCTTTATTTGCACATTCTGTGTACAGATATTTGTGTAGTAATAGCCTCTTATGTTCAGTAGCATGTAGCTGTCATAATAATTACTGTCAGTGAATTTTAATTAATTTTTGTAAAGCTAGCAGTAACTTTTTTTTAATTATCTTTTAATTTCGAATTCCATGTGAAGCAATAATCAGGCAAAAATTGGCATTCATCTAGCTGGTAATCCAGCTGCCTTAGAAATCTGAACTATTGGACATTACAATGTTGAGAGTTTTGTCTCCCCCTTTTTTGTGTGTGTTGATTGTGTGTTAGTCAGATATCTGTGTTTATCATGGTGTTAATGTTGTTAAACTGGGGAAGTCTAGATTCATCATGTCTTCTAATACAAAGGAACTTATCAGAATCTCTTTTGATGGCTTATAGCAGGGTTTCTTAAGCTTTTTTCAGTCACAACCCCTTATCACTGAGATTTTTTTGCCCCCAGGACCCCATAATATTTACAAAAATTTTGTGTAACCCCATAAGTATTGCGCAAATCCGACACATGCGTGAGTGAAACTGGCAATATTTTCACTTGTACTGTAACATACTATTGCAGGTTTAGGTCATTAATTTTAATTTCCAATTTTAAGACATAGAACAATGCAAAAATTTTAAATAAGTAACAGACGAAATGACTGCGTCACATGCAAAGCAAGGAAAATGAACACTTATAAAAAGAATGTGTCGAAATGATTTTGTTTTTTTTTCTTTGTCTGTATTGTCTTATCTTTATCTATTTTCAGATACATTGTGTAAAAATATTTGGTAATTGTAAAATTATTACAATATGTTAAAGAAATATAAAAACTGCTAAAATTTTTGGCGACCCGCCACCCACAGTTTAAGAAACCCTAGCTTCACAAGCACACATTTTTTTTAACCCAATTTCTTTTTATCTTATCAGACTCTTAATTGGCACTTAAGTGGAATGTCTAATAACAGATACATTATAAACCTTAAACTAAGAATTAATAAAAATTAGTGTAAAAATATAATGATGAATAATTATATTAAAAATAAATTTTGAGAAGTAAGATCACAAACCAATACATTCAGTCGTATAAATTTTCATTTCAATATTATGATAGCTGTAACAGATCATTTACTGGTTTGTAAATGTTTTTGCATGAAAAATATTAATATTCTTTGCTAGTTACACATCAGAGCTGTGCAAACAAAAAAAGAGGGAAAATAAAACACTAGAAAGGGAATTTTGAAAGAGAATTTTTGATTAAAAGATAAATTAGATGCAGTTGATGATTTAATGATTTTTCTGAAATTTGATGAGATTTCAGTGTATTGTCTACATTTTTGTAGGGGTGTCATTGGCAAATTTTTTGTCTAACAGAAGTTTCTACATTTCTTTATAGACACTTAATATTAATAAGACCACATTAAAAATTTAGAGGAAAGTTTTTACACATAGACAATTAAACTATACTAATGGTACTCCTGCTTTCAGGTACACCTTACTGGGATTCCACTGGCAAGAAACAGTTTTATATATCAAAGGCATGTGCAACAGAACGTGACTGCAAGAAAGCTATTCATGCTGTCAGTAAGCGTTGTGACAGGATATGGTACAATGATTGGGAATGTGTTGAATGTTGTCATGGAGATCGTTGCAATTACTATGTAACCGTAAGTATGACTTAGTGTAGTATTTTATAAAGTTGCTTTTATTCTAATTTTGCTCCTATTTTGGTTTTGTAATGTACCAGTTCTTTCTGCATGTTGAAGCATACACATTTGCAACTAATTCTCAAATAATTTTCTAACAATCTATCAAGTAAGTCAAGTGTTAGTGATATTTTCCTGTATTTATTTGTGTTACAGTTACATACATGTAATCTTTTCGGTACACACCATTTACAAAACCACCTTAGTAGAAATCGACAAACTTTCAGAGTGAGCCAACACTATCAAATGCATAATAGTTCTTTAGTCAAGCTGTGTTGCAATATTTGTATACATTTGTACACTTCAGTGTATACTTGGTGATCGTGATCATGCCAATGCACAGTACTAAATTTGTGTATGACACCAAGTTTATGCAGTTCTCTATAATTTTTTTTAGCAGAAACCTTATTTAATAATTAAAATTTGTATTTTGAATTGCTGACCATCTTTATCTTTAAATTTATTGTTAAATTAACTTTTAAGTTCTTGTGAGTGGTCAGTGCTGTTTGTACACACATAAGTCCATGTTAACCATTTTGTGATCAATAAAAGGTTCTTTTACACCCTTTCCCTGGTTGTGTTCATTTTCAAGCCTGTGCTAGAAGTCACAGCACATGTGTTAATGATGTAACTCCTGTATTCGTCAAGGGTTTACTGCACGTTTGATTTATAAAAGCATGCACAGTTGTTTCCCAGTTAACTGGGAATAATATCTGTCAAAATTACTGTATACCTGAAGATTGTTAAAAAGCACAGGAAAGAGAAAAATCTCGTGTTATAATTAATAGAAAAATACTGATAGCAATTTGTCTGTATTATCCAATAGTTTAATCTGGTAAAGTTCATTTGTTTATGTAAAATAAATCAATATTCAAAACTGAAAGAACATGCTATGAGTAATGAAAGAATGTACAAGTGAACAGCATGAACAGTGCCATTCAGGGCCGGATTTAGACTTGATAAGGCCTTAAGCTATTTGAAATATGGGGCCCTTTATAAGTCTCTGTTATACTATATTTTAAATTTTGTTTTTTTGGGGGGATCCTAAGCTGTTGCTTATACATAAATCCTGTACTGGTGCTATTGAGTTCAGACTCAATCAGAATTTTTTGTTTTGGGGAGAGTTCATTTGGCAGATACAGTTGTTAATTCGGACACCCATAATCCGGACCTCAAAGCTAAAAACTTTCTGCGCATGCGCACAGGCGTTTAATCGTGCGCGTAAGACCTTTACAACTGCGCATTTGCATGTGCACAAGCGCAGAATACGTTTTCGCTGCGCGTTTAATGTATAACGGACGGTATAAGCTAAAATTATCTAATTGTCTATTTCAGTTAATGTTGATGATTGCGTTGTTCCTTAACCTTCGAATTGGATCCGGCTTATTATTTTTTGTTGACTGTAAGAGCAATTTTATAAAAGTAAGCTTGAACTTTTGATTATGTCAAATAGAATTTCCGATGCTGGAGCTCCCAAAGGATATACGAAAACAAAAGTATGTTTCGATGTCCATCAAACAAAAAGTGGAATTTCTCCAAAAAATGGATAAAGGCATATCCTTTGTTTATCTAACCGTTCTGAAATCTGTTTATCAATTTCACACTGCTCTGTGCGGGGGGTGGGGGAACTTGGCCACTGGCAGGGCAGGCAGCGTGCAATGAACTGGAAGTTGATTTGTCAACACTATCGTTATCTTCAGGGCAGATGTTTTTATTTTATTCGGCTTATAATTCCTTATTAAATGTAGTATTTCATCTCGATGTACTTCGTCTTTGATATGATTTAAATCGAATTCCTCATCATTATAAATATCACGAATACAAATCAAATAGTTTTCTGGTTGCAATTTTCTAATTTCGGCTATGCATAATGTATACTTTACGCATGCGTGCGTTGAAAGAAATGTTTATAAAAGTAAACAAATAAATATTAATCTTTTTTTGTAAATTAAATTTTGATACCTTTAGCTTTAGATCATAATTGCTCATTATTTTATAAATTATGGTTTCATATTTTTAATTTTATAATTTCTGCATGCCATCTTACCAGATTTAAACTGATGATCTATAATCCAGAAAAATCGATAATTCGGAATCACCGAAGTCCCGACGAGTCCGGATTAAAGACTTTTGACTGTATTTGCTGTGACAACTGATAATCCCAGTCAATTTTCTTTTTCTTTTGTATTCTCTGTAAGCCGTTTTATTTTGCATTGATGATGAGTGGCAGTACTTTTTCCATTGTTCTAAAAAATTAATTATTTTTATTTATTTTAAAGATGAACCCAATTAATTAGAAGTTGATTGTAAAATGATTTGTAGAAAATTTATCATATGTGGTATTTACAAACGGAAAAAAATTTGCAATTTTGCTAACATTTTCCCCTTCCTTTTTTTTAGCTTGCTGGTGTGAGTATCAAGCCACATGCAGTATTTTATATCTTAGTCACAGTATTTTGGTTAATGATATTAACTAAAGTGTTTTAAGAATTTTTCTTTTACTTTGTCTTAAAGACTTGAAGTTTTTAATTAAATATAAGTAATACATTTGTTGTTGCTCTCAAATTGATTAAGTATGTGTATATGTAGTAAACAATTTAATAACCAATGTTAAATATTCCTTCTTTATAGGTTTTATCATTTTTTAATAAAATCATCAATATTAAAATGCACTTTTAATGTTTTCCTTCGCGTAATATGTACCTTAATTAAAAAAAATTGTGAAGTATTTCTCTTCAGTGTGATTAAAGAGATGATTTTGAAATTACTTATATAATAAAGTGCAAAGTCTTTTGTATTTGATAAAGCCATGGACATTGTTTTAAGTATTCTTTTTTGTGTTTGATTAAAAGTGATATAAATATTAAAATTTCTAAATATCTGTCTAACTTTCTCAGTCAGTTTAATTAACTTTTTCCAGCATTGGATGGTTTGCATCTAAAGTTAAGCAAACCTGTTTCTATTATTTCTAAAACATAAGAATATTTTATAATTTAATAAATATTTCTGTAGTTAGTGATACAGGTATGATTTAAAAAAAAAAAAAAAAAAAAATCTGGCCTAAATTGGGAGAGTAACAGAAACATATAATGAGTACCATAAATTCACTTCCAGGATATGCAGTTGCCAAAATGAAATACTTAAAAATATTTTATAACTTTTTAAAAATATTTTTTTTGTGTTTCGTAAGAAGTGAACTTACTTTTTTAAGAAGTGTAGAACGGATCCTTTCCCATCTCTTTAATAAGTTACAGTATGTTCATACCCTTTTTTAGCCTTTCATGCTATAAAGCTGTTTCATATCCTTTTTTAGTCACTGAATCACTTTTCCATTTGGAGCCTTTTCTCCCTGTTTCTGCCAGTATATGAAACACAAGAACTAGGTCTAAATGACTTGCCTTTTCTTTCTTAGTAATATTAAGTATATGTTAATTATTGGTAGCTCTAATATTAGTAAAATCAATAGATTTGCTCATTGATATTGTCATCAGTGTTCTAGTTATCAGTGCTGAGTCAGTTTACTTTTGGATGATTGTTGAACTAACTGTTCTACATCTTTCTTGACCTTTACTTCAAAGAGCTTGTTTATGCTCAAAGAGCTTTAAATTTTGAATCATCTTGACTTTCATCTCTATTTTCTCTCATTGATGTAAAGATAAAATTGGCCTGATACAATTTCAGGATTCACTAAAGCAAGAGTATGAAATTGACACTTTGTTCTATATCACTTAAATGTTTTGAATTTTCCCAACTTAATGTAACGTGATATCTCTAGTAATCTGTCTGTGAATTTATTTGGCATTTGAATAATTCCAGTAATTCTATGAGATAATTTTTCATAAGAAGAAGCTTTGTAGTAAATTGATACTAATCTAGTCCCCTTCATTAAATTTGCAGTTTGTTGATTCATAGATCACTGCAATGAGTTTATGTGAAGGAAAAGAGATAAGTTTGATTTCTATGGTAGTAGTATTGAAGTTACTTAAATCTGAAGGTACATTTTTTGTACATGGGGATGGATGCAAAAAGACAAAAACTTATGTCAAACATTATGTGATTTTGATACTTTATATGACAAGTACATATTTGAAAATGCAGTACAAAGTCTGTATTCCAGACTCGTTGGGACTTTGGCGATTCTGGATTAGGGTTTTTTCTGGATTATAGATCATCAATTTAAATCTGGTAAGATGGCATGCAGAAATTTATACAATTAAAAATATGAAACCATAATTTATGAAATAAAGAGAAATTATGATCTAAAGGGTATCAAATTTTACAAAAAAAAAAAAAAGCTTAATATTTATTTGTTTACTTTGTTAAACATTTCTAACGTGCGCATGCATAAAGCATACATTATGCGCATGTGTAATGTATGCACATTCTTTACGTGCATGCATAACGTTTGTGGCTTTGAGGTCTGGATTATAAAGTCCTGTGGGGTGGATCATTTGGATAAACTGGAAACCTGGGAAAGAGAAGTAGAAATGGCTGTAGTACTGACTCAAGTAGAGCCCATAAGGAGTAATCTATTAAGCAAATCACTTGGAGATCCCTGTTTAAGAAGTCATACTAAGCCACAATTGAACATTTTTTCCAATTATGATTTTTGCCTTAAATATAAATAAACTGAGTCATACTTGTATGATTTTAAACTTCTGTTCCACATTGTCTAAAGTAAAAATACATATTTAAATTAGAAATTTATTTTTAAAATCTGAAAAGTAACATTTTATTAATGTGAATGTTGTGTCAGCTAATTTAAATTGAATTGAGGGAAAGAAAAACTTTTTAAGCATTTCGTATTCTGTATTAATTTAATAATCATGTTAAATGTTATCTGAAGAATTCATTTATTTTCATATGTGTGATGTTTTTTTCCTTTTGTAGTCCCAGTCATTTAAATTTTTTGCTGATTATGTATCATATTTAATACATATATTTTGTACATATTGACTTTATTAACTTTAGAACAAATTATTGAAGAACGTTTGTTAAATAATTAGACATGAAATTATTTTCATATTTCTTCTAATATTAATCTGCAGTATTTATCTGCTATTTTGAAATTCCATTTTTGTGAAATGCAAAAATTTGCTTCTGCAAACAAATGTTATAATTGCATTTTGTTTTAAATTGTTAATAAGTGCTAATTTATCAACACTGAGAAATTATGTAAATTATTAATATATACTGTTTATTTACATCATCTATAAAACACCATTTCTGTAATCAATCCCCCTGAAAAAAATTGTTTATTTAGTTATACACATCAAATAAAGGATATTAGGCGAATAATATATATTCATTAGACCAATTATGAATATTGTTTTTATTTTGATGTTGATTTAAAGATTGTTTAATGTTATTTTAGCTTTTAACATTTTTATATATCATATCATTATTGTATATATGCACTGTACATCTAAATATGTGTATAGTGTGTCTAATGTTTGATAACCAGTGGGTGGTAAAGATTCAAAATATGTCATAAGGCTTCAAAGAAAAGTTTCCCCAAATGAATTCTTTCTTCCTTTAGTTATCTAGTTTTATTATAGCTCTTAGTGTAATGGTTTTTTATTATTGAAAATGTGCTTGTGGTAGTGTGGAATTTTATTACTTTTGCTTTTTGTGTGATGTGTGTCACATTCAGCTGTAACAGTTTTAGTCATCAGGATTCACAGGGGCATAATATTTTTTCTTTCTTTTATAGTGTATAAGGAAAATGTTTGAATATCAATAACATATTCTGTAATAAAATGCAGACTTTTTTAAAAAACCCTTTTATCATTCTGTGAAGTTTTGTTGATGCATCATTGGGAATAGAAATTGTTGTGGAGAGTTTTATCTTAAATAAAATTTTGATGTTAACTCATTCTGCAGAAAAACATTATATAACAGTTCATTGGTTTTTTTTCGTACTAAATGAATTTAAGATCATACAACATTATTTATATATGTATATATATATTAAATGACTCTCAGTGCATTTAATCTTTTTTTTTATCTGGTTGTTGTTGGTAAACTGAGCATTAATTTTACATTGATTCCATTGGAAAATTTTTAAGATTCTGAGTAATATAACACAATAATAGCTACATTTTGAAACAATTATTTGTGTACAATAACTCCTTCAACCCCCCTTTTTCTTTAGTAAGATAGCATATTCACCAAGAAAATATTCCATTTTTTTGTGCTTTCTGCTAGAAAATATTACATCTCATTCAATTCTGAGTATATTAAATTTTTTGTTATTCATATTCCTGTGTGCCTTGGAAAAAGAAAAGTATATTTGAAATCAGTCAGTTTTAAAATGTTAAGAAGTGCTATTGTGTTATAGATTATAATGTTACAATGTATATATTTTTGATGTTTTATGGAATTTTTAAATATTCACCAGGGTCAGATATCAGCTATGGCAAATAAATCTACATTTTTATGTGTTATTTAGCATTGTTGATACACGTATGTGTGTAATAAATTTAGAGGGACCAGTATTTCATAAAAATAGGGAAAAAAGGTAGATATTTTAATCACAGTTGTTATATTACTTAATTATTCTGTGTATTTATAAAATTTGTTTGAGCTGACAGTGCTGCATTGCTAGTACTTATTAGAACCGTTATTTTCATAATAAGCTCAAAAAAGTGGTATTATGTCATTCAAGTGATATTTTTTAGTTTAATTTAATGAGTGATACTTTAAAATTCAGTTTTGCATTTTTATGGAAACTACTGCACACTTGTTGGCTTTTACTGAATATCATGTATGTATTTTACATAAGTTTATGGCAGTTGCTTCATCAAGCATTATCATTTTTATTGAGATCACATTCTATAAATTTATTTTCTTTCATATGTACCACATTAAATGCTTGAATGATGATTAATATGCTAACAAGACAGAAAAAAAGGTGGCAATTTATATGGGGCTGTTTTTCTCGCATGCAGGAAACTCTTATCAGATTATTACATTAGCTAACTCGACTGCTACATAAACCATGATAATTCATGAATGCATAAGATGTGTACTAACCCTCTAAATGGCATGGGTTTTGGGATCTGTCATGAAGACCTGTATTGAAACAGCATTTATTAGCTAAATTTGTATAATTTAGTCTCCCCCCCCCCTTTTTTTTTTTTTTTTTTTTTTTTTTTTTTTTTTTTTTTTTTTTTTTTTTTTTTAAGCTTAATGCTTTCTTAAGCTCCAAGATGACACTTCTATTATTTTAAAAAAAAAAGAAAGAAATCAAAATATCTTTAATTATATGCTAATATATACAAAGTCACAAGAAATCTCGTGACCAGATAAAGCCAGTGATGGTGCTCAGAGGGTTAATTATTATGTAGATAATAATGAAAAATATTCTACCATCCAATTGTGTGGCTGCTAGTATTGATTGCATGTAAATGTAAATATGTATGATTTTACACATAAGAAAGCATGTAAGCCTCCATAATATTAATATAATATCAGTTGTTATAAGAAGAAAATCAGGCATAAGAATTAGAAAATGCAATTGAAAAAGTATTCTCTGATCTTTGGAATACTATATTTTCTAATGTCATTATTTGTAAGGTATATAAATTTAGCAAATAATAATTACATATGAACATTTGCATTATTATAAGTTTCACTGAGAAAGATCTGATGTAAATATCAAGTAAATTCATCTTTTTATAAACTAAGCATTCCTAAACGAAGTGTGTCTTTTTTTTAGTTCCGTCCATTTTATATTTTTCAGTTGTTTAAAATGTGTTCATTTATGTGCTGTGGTTGATGCTGCATTTTTTTTATTGATATCGTATACTTTATTTATTTAAAATTGTGTACTATTTTATGCTCACAAGAAAAATCAGGTATATATTGTATTCACAAACTTTTTAAAAATCATGTTTTAATATTTTTTAATTATAAAATTTATCTTAATGAATAATCTAGAAAAGTGATTATTAGATTCATATTTTCAAATTATGTTTGTAAATGTAGGTGCTGTAAAGTTTTTGAATAAAATATTTTTTTATACAGGGATTTTGTTTTGTAACTGTCTAGTTAAATTATCTACTCACATGTAATTATTTTTATTGAATATCTCAAGATTTTTTAGGGTGAAGGTAATTATTAAAACATTTCTTGTAATTGTCATACAGCACTAGTTTGTAGTAAAAAAACTAATCTATAATAGTGATATAATCCAAACTGATACTTAACAAATTGTTTATATAACAGAAATTTGTAATTCTAGAAAAATTTATTAAAAAAGCCTCATGAAAAATAACCATGAAATATAATAAATATAAAACCTCATGAAACCAACAGCCATTTTTTAAATTGAAACTGTAGAGACTCATATCCATTTTTTTTTTTTAACTAGCTTTATTATACCTTTCTTTTAAAAGTAAATATACATTTATCAAGGAAATGGTTTCAGTATATATTGTATGCAAAATATGTTTTAAATCTATCCAGTAAATGATTTTTTAAAGTCATGACTTTTAAGGCTGCTAGTTCAGAGAGCTACCAGCATTTCTAAGACCATAATTGAATATTTATTTTTTTTACAATGACCACCTCCTCAGAAGATAAAAATCATCTAGAACTATTACCATCTTTGAGTGGTATTAGTATGTACTAATATATCAAACCAATTAAAAATCACACTGTACTAAAAAATTATTTGAAAGTTATTTAATTACCAACAATGGAAGCTTTTGAGATCTGAATAAATAAAATTATAGAACATTTAAAGTGAAGTTTTGTTTTTGAATTCTGAAATTTATAAGTACTCAGCATCAAACAGATATTTATATTGACAGTATTCTAGAAGGGAATTTCTGAAACTGGAAATTAAGTGAATTTTGAACTGACAGTGCTGAGATTTCTCTTTTATATACATCATGTGCTGTATTGCAGACATAAGTCAGAACAGAAAATATTCCAAAGATGATTTTTCTTTATTTAAAATAAAGCAGATTAACTCACTGGACAAAATTTAAACCAATGTAGTAAATAATTAATACTTGTCTACCTCTACTTAACATGAATGACAGCAGCAGTTAGCTGGTGCTGACTTGTTATTTTACAAGTCTAAAAATTCACTTCGATTTGAAGCCAGATTTTCAATGAGACTCTATGGAATTTGCAGGCTAGGAAATATGAATGAGCTTCTTAAAATGCTTGTAGAATCAGTTAGTGATAATTTGGGCGTAGTGTACTAC